GGCATATAAATACTTCACGAAAGTGATTCATTAAATGTATCTCGTAGATAACTACATATTAATGCTCGGACGGATCCTGCCCACAGGCATTTCTCGTGAGCAAATGAATCATTAAACACTTGCCGTGTACAACGAAACCTCCCATAATTTGTTAGACGCGAATAAGATGAATGGAAGTAATCCCAATGGTAGTACGGGCAAACAGCATCAGCTTCTGGAATGGCTATGCGTATCTCCCTTTTACGCAGAGGAAAATTAAAAACCCTAAAAAGAGCTCACTTTCCGGCGTTGACCTTCACTGCAAATTCGTATTGTGTATTCGGCCGTAATCCCTCAATAACTACTTCTGATTCCGAGGTATTCACGTAACGCTGCTGTCCGCCGTTCTCCGCACTGAAATCTCACCAATAAATTATTTAGTTTCAATGTTTTTGCACGCTGACCAGTGAATTAAAAGGGTAAAATTCGAAGACATCTTAACCACCGAATCGTGAAAAATGCTTTGAAAAATAGACCCAAGTAAGCTCAGCATCGAAAGTGGTTAGCTAGCCACGTCCGCCAGAGCATCACAGTAACACTACGAACGTGAATCACCTCCATCTTCTGTAGCATCGGAGTTCTTGGTAGTAAAACTAGGATATCACTTTTTGCGAGGGCCAACATTTCAAGTCAGCTCTTCCACAGATCTTTTTATTTTCATAATCCCGCTCTTTAATTCGGCTGTTTAGTTAATAATTCCGCTCTTTAATTCGACTATTTCGTTCATAATTCCGTTATTACTAATACCAACCTGGAACTATATCGCACGGTATACTGCCTCGAATATGGTACTTCCAGGTCATCATCTGTCCACGTAACTTTGATCGATGAAGATGAAAGCGTTAAGGCTCGGACGCCGACCGGTGTTTCACTGGGCCCGGAACCTTCGCTATTTTGCTGCCACATTCCAGACTTCGTATCCGGCGACAGTGTGCGTATCGTCTCATAGATCGGAAAACCGTTTCCCATAACGTTATAGGCTCGTAACGAAATCACATAGTCACGTCCAGGTTTCAAATTCGCTATTGTATAAAACCTGAGGTTGGCCGGCACTTTCACCTGATCCACATCCGGAATATTTATTCCCCATCCAATCTGAAATTTTATTTTTTCCGAAAAATCGTCATCAATCTGTTCTACTGCTCTTGCGATGTGACATCACTGTGCACTGCGAACATGCTTTGGCAAGAACCTCAAATAGAAAGCTTAGATAGTAAACGTTACGATTCGAAAAAAAAAGTTACCAGATAGCCGCGGACCATAACGCTATCATCTCGGGGTGGCAACCACGAAAGCTGAATCGAGTCCACAGACGGTAAAACTTTGAGGGATAATGGCGGTCCAGCAACCTGCCCTTCATCTTTGTCTTCCAGTCGTGTATCCACATGCACCCATTCCGAATTCGGACCCGATCCGTTCTAAAATGCAGACACAAACTGATATACATAAAACTGGTATAATGTTGTGATCGTTGCTGTGGCTACAGATTTTCAAGTAACTTTATCACGAAAAGCGAGAAGTTCGTTCGCAACAAACCTGATTAACAGCAGAAACACGCAGCATGTACTGAGTGCCAGGCTCGAGACCTGTTATTGTATATGAA